CATATTGATGGACTTTTCCCATAGAAAGGTTATTTCTGGTTACAACCTTAACTCTTGAAAATATTTCCATTTTTCTTCTTCTTGCTAGTTAAGGGAATTGTTTAAAAGCTTCTTTTGAGGGCTGGAGCGATAGTTCAGCGGGTAGGGCATTTGCCTTGGACGCGGCTGACCCGGGTTCAATTCTCAGCATACCATATGGTCCCCCCGAGCACCACCAGGAGTAATTCCTGAGTGAAAAAAGCCAGGAGTAAACCCTGTGCATCGCCCAAAAACAACAACAACAACAAAAAAGCTTCTTTTGAGCATGCCGGGTTGGACTGACCTCAGTCAGAAACAATCCACATTGCTAAAGTGACACATTTTTGTTATTGTTTTAATAAATGTGATTAATCACTGGTTTGTAATACTATAAAATTGGGGGAGTTCAGCTTTGTGGGGAAGTCTATCCTTCAAAATCAAGGAAGGTGCTAAGATTTGAAAAACAAAAAAACAAAAAGTATTCTTAATCTGGGGCTGGAGCAATAGCACAGCAGGTAGGGCATTTGCCTTGCACACGGCCAACCTGGGTTCAGTTTCCAGCACTCCATATGGTCCCCTGAGCACCTACAGGGGTAATTCCTGAGTGCAGAGCCAGGAATAACCCCTGTGCATTGCCAGGTGTCATCCAAAAAGAAGAAAAAAAGTATTCTTAAGCCATAATCCAAATAAAAATCTAAGAAGTTAGTTCAAGGTCATTATTTTCCAACGCTTAAAATACAATCTGGGTCAGAGCAATAAGTACAGCAGGTAAGGCACTTGCCTTGCGCACGGCCGACCCAAATTCAATTCCCGGCACCCCATATGGTTCCCTGGACCCCGCCAGGAGTGAATCCTGAGGGCAGAGCCAAGGGTAAGCCCTGAGCACCACTGGGTGTCCCGCCAAAAAAAAAAAATTAAATTAAATTAAAAATAAGTAAATATAATGAGGTGGTTTTTTTTTTAATATTAACTACATTTCTCCCCCTGAAACAAGCCTGGTGTAGAACTCCACATCTATGGGCACTCAGGCAAACAGCATGGGGTGGGAACAAAGCCGTTTAACTACTTCTCACTCTCCTGCAAGAACAGGCTGGGCTCCAGCTCGGACTCACTCTGGTGCTATGAAAACACGAGGCATGCAGGGAAGGATGCCTGGGAACCCACAGCCTATTTGGAAGGTCAAAATCTACTAGAAAGAACTAGAAAATCAGAGTCTGAAAAGAGGATCTTTAGGATCCAGAGTGAGTAGGGTGGGGAGGGCATTTAGCCCAGGATTCAATCCCCGCCACCCCAGATGGTCCCTGAGCACTGCCAGGAGTAATTCCTGAATGTAGAGCCAGGAGTAGGTCCTGGTCATCGCCAAATGTGACCCAAAAACCAAAAAAAAAAAAAAAAAGACAAGATCCTTAGGGGGCTGGAGTGATGTAGTACAGTGGGTAGAGCCCTTGTCTTACAGCCAGTCTAAGTTTGAGCTCTGGCATTCCATCCCATATAGTCCCAGAGCACTGCCAGGAGTAATTCCTGAGTGCAGACCCAGGAGTAACTACTGAACATTGCAGGTGTGGGCCAAAAGCAAATGAAAACCAACCAAACAAAGGATCCTTTTTAAAAAAAAAATTGTATTGCTAACACAACAGCAACTTCATCATTGCCACTGAATTACTATACTTGGATGTTCCCTGGGATATCCAGGAGGGAGTCATATTTGTTTAAGAAGGTGGTCCTGTCTTTGAACAACTTTACCTCTCCAACTCTAACAAAAAGGTCCTTGGCTCAAAGGAATGGAGAGCAGGCTTCGTGTGCAAATGCCCCAGGTTCACTCTCCGCTGCCAAGGATCCCCCAAGCAGTACCAGGTAGAGCTTCAAAACAAACAAGGATACTTGGTTCAAGGCTCCTCCCCCCCTACCCCCATGATGGCGGCGTCCCCCCAAACTTGAGTTCACAGTGCCGACTCTGCAGAGGAGAGCTTCGGTGACCAATGTTCGGTAACACCAAGACTCTGGCTTCCCTGAAAATGACTAACAGCGGGTAGCCCCGGCTCTCAATGGCTCAGGCTTACTTCCTGTTTCATGCAGTTCCCTGGGCACATTTCCATTTAGACAGAATTTTTTTCCATGAACAGTCTCAGGAAACGCCACCCCCAGATAAGCCACAATGAACTAAGGATTCTGCAGAGCTGAAATATTTTGAGTCCTTGAAACCTTAGGAGCCAAAAAGCAACCAGAACCTTCTGCCTCCCACAAAGGAACCACCCTAACTGCTTCCCCAGGTCCCACTCACAGTTGAACTTCCAGAAGACAAGCAGAAATCTAGGAGGGACGTCACCCCAACGGATGGGGCCACAAACTACAGATTCAGTCCCTCCTAGAACCCATCTACCATCCCAGACTGTCATTTGCTTTTTCTGAAGTACGGTTTCTCCCCCTCACTTCTCCCTGCTAGGTCTGGAACACAGATTCCCAACACACCTTGGTGTCACTCTATGTCTCAACTCAGTTTTAAAAGCACAGGCAGGGCCCAGGAGCTAGTACAGGGGTTGAGGTGCTTGCTTCGCACAGAGCCGGCTGGGGTTCGATCCTCAGCACTAACTACAGTCCCCCAAGTCCTGCCAGGAATGATGTCTTAGCACAGAGCCAGGAGTAAACCCTGAGCAGCTCCAGGTGTGGCCCCCAAATCAAATCAAATTTAACATGATTTATTAAAAATAACAAATAATGGGTGAGGAGCGATAGCACAGCGGATAGGGCGTTCGCCTTGCAAGCGGCCAACATGGCCGACCCGAGTTCGATTCCTCCGCCCCTCTCGGAGAGCCCGGCAAGCTACCGAGAGTATTTGATATGCCAGACACAGTAACAATAAAGTCTCCAATGGAGACGTTACTGGGCCCGCTCGAGCAAATCGACGATCAACGGGAGGGCCTTTACCTTTACCTTTACCTTTACAAATAATGGGGCTGGAGCGATAGTACAGTGAGTAGGGTGTTGCCTTGCACACGGCCGACCTGGGTTCAATTCCCACCATCCCATATGGTCCCCTGAGCACCACCAGGAGTAATTCCTGAGTGCAAAAGCCAGGAGTAATCCCTGTGCATTGCTGGGATTTGCTAAAAAGCAAAACAAAACAACAAAACAACAACAACAACAAAAACCAAATATGCAAACAAATAAGGACAGAACATCTGAACAGAAACTTCTCGAAAGAAGACATCCAGTTTGCCCACAGGCCCAAGAGTAAATGCTAGACATCTCTGTTTGGGAAATGCAAACAGGAAGCTGCCAAACTAGGGACAGCTGCCACCTTGCACCCGTGAGAAGGGCAACCCTCAAAAGAGTGGACACACATGTCATGGGGAAGACAAAGTGAAGAGGAAGCGGGGCTCACTGTGAGGAGGGAAGGAAATGGGTGCATTTCTTTTTTCCCAGCACGGAATGGAGATTCCATAGCAGGGCAAACTAAAACCAAGGCCCCAGGGATGTCTGAGAGACAAGAGCTCTTTCCTGCAGGCAGAGGCAGTGAGAGGAGACAGCCTTGCCTGGTCATGGCCTTCAGGCTACAGAAGAACAAGAAAGACAAGACTTTGAACATGGCCTGGCTGCTGCAGATCAAATAATTCATAACTGGAAATAACACATCTGTGCAAACCCTCACACCCCAAATGCCAGAATTAGGAGGTGGCGCCTTTGGGAGGAGATAGGGCATGAGGATGGAGCCCCTCTAAAAGGGAATAGTATGCAAGGATGGTAGAAGCCAGGGCCAGGAGGATCAGTCCAGGGTCGGAAGCTGCCACAAGTGCTGGGGGAGAAGGCAACTGGGATAGACAAGGGACCATTGTGACAAAGCTAGCTGGAAATCACCACTCTGGATAGGAACTGCGTGCTGAAAGGAGGTAAAGGAACAAACATGATAACCTCTCAGAATCTGTATTGCAAACCATAATGCCTAAAAGGAGAGAGAGGGGGAGAGAGAGAAAGAGAGAGAGAGAGAAGGAGAGAGAGATAGAGAGAGGGGGAGAGAAGGGGGAGAGAGGGAGAGAGAGAGAAGGAGAGAGAGACAAAGAAAGATAGAGACAGAGAGAGCAGGAAAGAGAGAGGGAGGGAGGAAAGGAGAAAGACAGAGAGACAGAGACAGAGAGGGAAGGAGGGAGGGGGGGAGAGAGAGAGAGAGAGAGAGAGAGAGAGAGAGAGAGAGAAGGAAAGTGCCTGCCATAGAGTCCTAGAGTCTAATAGGGGAGAAAGGGTGTTGGGAGGGAAACTGGGATCATCAGTAGTGGGAAATGGACACTGGTGGAGGGATGGATGTTGGATCATTGTATGACTGAAACCTGATCGTGAACAACCTGGTAACTGCATCTCACAGTGACTCAATAAAAAACAAATAAATAGAAATAAAATGAAATGAAAAGGATTAGTGCCCTATTAAAAGAGACCTTTGAGCTCCTGGGCTGCTCCGCCCATTGAGGACACAGCAAGAGATGCAGCTGATGAAGCAACAAGCCTGGATCTGGGACCGCCCAGCCTGTGAATGGTGAGAAGTAAACATTCATCACTCAAGTCACCCCTCAATGGCATTCTGCAACGGCAGACTGAGAAAAGACCCTCCTGTAATGGTTGCTTTGTTTTGTTTTACTGGGAGGGGACTCCCAAGCAGTGCTCAGGGGGCCCTGGGGCAGAAAGGTCCATGATGCTCAGGCTGAGGATGTCTGTGCATCCTCAGGACCACACAGGGCGGTCCTCGATGGGTCACACTGTGCCAGGGATGGAACCAGGTTCCTGCACAGGCAAAGCAGGTACCCGCCTCCCTGTGCTCTATCCCTGGCCCCCAAAGACATCTTCGTGATGGTGAAAGCAAACAGAGCAAGTAAAACCACCAGGATGCGGAACAGGCTGGCCTTGCCGAGGGAAGCAATCATTTCAATAATGCAGCAGCACAGGATGCCCAGGACAGGCGCCCTGCTGGGAGCAGAAATCAGTCGGCCAATTACCTAGTTTGCACAGGGTGTCACTCAGGCTGATGCTCAGCTGCTTCCTGATGAGTGGGGAGTTGACGTGAGCGCCTGAATTTTCCTTAATTCTGATCACTTCCTTGTAAAATTCAATGGCCTGCTTCCTGGAGACCCTAGAAACAAGAAGTGGCGGTCACATTGTTGCACGGGACAGGCATGGCATTCGTTCAATCATTCACGCACTGACCGCTCATCAGAAGCAGAGCAGAGCCAGGACCAGGGCACAGAGGCAAGAAAGACTGATCCTGGTCCTCGGAGTGTTTCCTGCAGGTCAGCAGGGAGCCTGGATGGTGAGACAGGATTAGCCACTCGAGAAGAACTCACCTAAGGGCTGGGACTTTCTGGTTGGGGAATTTTCATTAGAGAAACGCCGTGATCCAACCGCATCGTGGAAAACTCAGTGCGGCCGGGGGCTCAGTGGCAGATGGAGAGTGAATACCTCACAGTGCTGCGCCCCTGGGTGTACCTGGGTGGGAGGCGAAGGGACAGGGTTGCGGTAAGCAGGAGGAGACCAGCCCAGAGCGGGAATGGAGATGCTCCGGGCACGACTATACTCCTGCAGCCTCTGGCAGCCGGAGCACTTAGTCCAGAGGCAGGTGACCAGCTTTTGAGACCTGACAGTGGCCGCAGAGCAGAGAGCGGCCAGCTAAGTCCTGCCATCCTGCCCAAGGAGGCAGAGCTGGTGCTGGAGTCCCAAAGGGGGCAGGGTCTTCACCTTGGTGAGGAGCTGGAGTTGGGGCAGGCCCAGCGGTGGCCGAGACCCTGTACTCAGACTCCCCACCCCCCACTCTGTTTCTCTATCTGGGGTACCCATCCCAGCTCGATCGGACTGGTAGGAGTGTTCATGACCACAGCCCCGGCTGAGTCTTGTACAGGACACAAGGGTGAGAGGGGGGTTGTGAGACTTGAGAAATGCTTATGCAAGGGCTTCGAGCGTGACTGCTAACATGATCGTGCAGACGGGGCAGGTGCAGGGCTGCCCTTTGTGGGGGCGGGGAGGGTCTGTTTGGTCCTGAGCAGGCTGAAGCATCCACACTTGGAACAGTCCAACGAAGACGGCTCCCGGCAGATGGAGCACTACTGGGAACTCGATCAAGGAGAGGATAATGAGGCGTCTCCCAGCAGATGCAGGACGGTGTCTGCGGCTGCTGACAGGGACAAGGGGCAAACAGAGACAAGGAATAGCCCCTTATGGAATCCTGACTGAAGTTCTTGGCACAGGTGAGAACAAAACATGCCCAGAGTGAGACAGCAGAGAGCTCAGAAACTGGACCTCAACGACATCCAGTTAAAAATTTTTTGTGCTACATGGGGATGAAAAGACGGCAGACTGGGGCTGGAGTGATAGTACAGCGGGTAGGGCGTTTGCCATGCACGTGGCAGACCCAGGTTCGATCCCCGGCATCCTATATGGTCCACCGAGCACCGCCAGGAGTAACCCCTGAGCATCACTGGGAGTGAGCAAAAAAGAAGGAAAGAAAAGAAAATAACTGCATTCATTTGTGGTATAATATAAATATATATAGATATAGATTTATAGACTATAAAACCAATCTCCCGGAAGAGAACAATGCAGAGTCTCCTGTCCCCATGCCTGGCTGTCCTCACCAGGGGTCCTTGGAGGAGGGCGGGTTGAGTTTTCCTCTTTGCCCCGAGCAGAGACCTGGCAGCTGAATACCCCCGGTACCCAGCCACAGCCATGCTGAGACCATTCTCCACACGCTTGGATGAGCCTCACACATGAAGCAACCAGCAGAGGAACCCAGGTGTGCGGGACCCGGGGCTGAGATCTCCAAGCCTGCTTGGTTCGGGACTGGGCCTCCTCCACACAGATCCCCCATCTTCCAGTAGCTAGACAGTTACACCCACCAACTGCCGTGTAACCCCATCAACAGCCAGGATCCAGAGACTATAAAACCAAGCTCCCAGAAGTGTGTGGCCGCATTTGCGACAGCACGACCTCTTATTCTCTAGTTCTCACTCTCAGAGAACCCGGTAGGCTACTGAGAGTATCCTGCCTACATACATATGCCTGACTGGAAACACCTGTAAAGGTGATTAGAGGCTGCCCCAATAGCCTTTATCCCTCTCAGAAAACCTGGCAAGCTACTGAGAGTATCCCGCCTGCATGGTAGAGCCTGGCAAGCTACCCGTGGCATACTCGATATGCCAAAAACAGTAACAATGATGGTCCTCATTCCCCTGATCCTGAAAGAGGCCCCAGTATGCCAACAGGGCTACACTAGCACGTGACAGGGATGAGTGGAGATATTACTGGCACCCGCATGAGGAAATCAATGAAAAACGGGGTGATGGTGATATATATCACGGTCACGGTCTTCCCGTTGTTCATCAATTTGCTCGAGCGGGCCCAGTAACGTCTCCATCATGAGACTTGTTGTTACTGTGTTTGGCATATTGAATACATCATGGGGAGCTTGCCAGGCTTTGCTGTGGGGGCAAGATACTCTCGGTAGCTTGCCGGGCTCTCCGAGAGGGGTGGAGGAATCGAACTTGGGTCGGCCATGTTGGCTGCTTGTAAGGCAAATGCTTTATGGCTGTGCTATCGCTCCAACCTGGTGATATATATATACATATATATATATATTAGAAGAATAATATACATGGGGGTGGAAATAGGGGTGAGGAGGACTGGTCAGTGGTTGGAAATAACCACAGGTATGTGTGGGGCTGTGGGTACGTAAGATTGAGAAGAGACCACTATGACAATAAAAGCTGGGAATGATCACGCTGGACAAGATCACGCTGGACAAGATCTGAGGTAAGGGATATTCTTGATAACCTTTCAGTATCAATATTGCAAACCACAATACAGAGAGAGAGAGAGAGAGAGAGAGAGAGAGAGAGAGAGCAGCAGGTGGGGTGGGGGTGGGAGTGATGGGAGGAACCTGGGGTCCAGAAAATGCACACTGGTGGAGAATGGGTTTGGCATACTGTATGACTGAAACCCAATCATGAACGGCTTTGTAATGCTCTAAAATAAATAAATAAATAAAAATTTAAAAATTAAAGACAACAACAAAAAGACAGCAGGCTGGGTGGAGGAGAGTGGTACCACATGTGTCTGACAAGGGGGACTTCCGAGGGGTTTCCAGGACTCATGCAATCACCAGATGTAGTCCAAACCACAAAAGCAAAAATAAAGGTGCAGTAACAAGGTACACCAAACACATAAACATTAACACTACTTAGCCATGTTACTTAAACTGCAATCTGTATAACTGGAAGTGATCACGCTGGACAAGAACTGAGTGCTTAAAGTAGGTAAAGGAATATACTGAATAACCTTTTAGTATCTGTATTGCAAACCACAATGCCCAAAACGAGAGAGAGAGAGAGAGAGAGAGAGAGAGATTTCAAAAGACAGAGACAGAGAGAGACAGACAGAGAGACAGAGACAGGGACAGAGACAGGGAGAGAGACAGAGACAGAGAGACAGACAGAGAAGAAAAGTGCCTGCCAGGGAGGCAGGCTGGGGTGGAGGGTGGTGGGGAGATGATGGGAGGGAACCTGGGACCTGTGTGAAATACACACTGGTGGAGGGATGGGTGTCGGAACACTGCATGACTGGAACCTGATCATGAACAGCTTTGTAAAATCTATCTCACAGTGATTCAATAATAGAACGTTTAAAATAAATAAGTCCAATTTGTGAGCGGGCAGGGGTAGGGGGCCACACCCAGCTCTACTCAGGACTTAGTCTTGGCTCGGTGCTCGGGGATCAATGCTGGCGGGGCTCGGAGGCCTCACGTGAAGATGCTGGGGGACGGAACCTGGGTCGGCCACATGCAAGAGAAGCGAGCGCTCTTCCTGCCAGGCCTGATCTGCAAATGTTTTTGACTGTTCCTTCCTCTGTCCTGTGTTCTCACTCTACATGGTTGGTGTGGCCCTCATTTACCCAGCCCAGCATCCTTTCTGCAGGGTGTGAAAGCTGTCACCAGGGTTCAGGTCACTGGGTCCACTAAGAATGAGAGGTCAGGGGGAGGTGACCACAGACTCTCCTGGCTGCAGCCAGTGTCCAGTAAGATGCAATCACTGAGAACTGCCTTCAGCAAAAAAAAAAACGGTTTTGTGACTTTCCAGAGCTTGGTCACCAACAGCGAGGCCAGGGGAAGAGGGTACCCCAACCTGGCCGGGCCCGTCCTTGTGGCCCAGCTTTTGGTCCTGGATTTAGACGGGGAGGGGAGGAAGGGGCAGCTCGGGTGACAGCCAAGCACAGCAGCGATGATTCAGTTCCTCAGTTAGATATTTAGATTTTTCTTTCCTGAGACAATGGTTCTACTGTCCAACTTATTACTTCTCTCAAAAAATTCCTGTTCTCTGCTCACCATGCTGTCCTTAAAAGGAACAAGAGGAGGCTTTAGACGGTGTCAAGTGCCTACAGAATTACTTGCTAGGGAGCACAAGAATACTGCTGAGCGCTCTGTTTATTGCATTCCTCAGTCTGGGCCAGACAGGCTGCCGGGCGCTGGCTGTGTGGGATGGGAGAGCGTGCCCTCCTGCGACAAGATCCCGTCGCACACTCACGTCACCAGTGCGGAAGGGGACGTGCTCTCCTGCTCACGGTCCTCAGGGACGGCGACATAAGAGTGGAAACTGGACCCAGAAATATTCTCTCTCTACAGGGGAGAGGTAAAGGTAAAGGCCCTCCCGTTGATCGTCGATTTGCTCCAGCGGGCCCAGTAACGTCTCCATTGGAGACTTTGTTGTTACTGTGTCTGGGAGCGATAGCACAGCGGGTAGGGCGTTCGCCTTACAAGCGGCCAACATGGCTGACCCGAGTTCGATTCCTCCGCCCCTCTCGGAGAGCCCGGCAAGCTACCGAGAGTATTGGATATGCCAGACACAGTAACAACAAAGTCTCCAATGGAGACGTTACTGGGCCCGCTCGAGCAAATCGATGATCAACGGGGGGGGGGCCTTTACTTTACAGGGGAGAAGTCGGCCCTTCTCCTCCCCCCCCCCCCGCCCCGATAGGACTCTGAGATGATGCCCACATACAGCCACCGTCCACTTAAGCTCTCACACTGCCATGATTCAGAGACACACAAACGAATCTCAGACCCTAGCAACTTGCTACAGCAATCTCTCCAGACCCTAATTATTAAAATTTTAGAATTCCTAGACATTATATTGTACCCATAACAAGCAATACAAAACACATGGTCTGGCATTGCCTTTTCGGCGGGTAATGAGTGGTGGTGGGGCTGGTCTTGAAATATCGAAGGTAACCAAAGTAGAGAAAGAGAGTATTGTGCAAATTCTCTGCCACACAGGCAGGGGTAGGTGTGGAATTGGGGGGCGGGTGGATACTGGGGATTTTGTTGGTGGAAAACGTGCACTGGTGAAGAGATGGGTGTTTGATGATTGTATGATCGAAGCGCAAACATGAAAGCTTTGTTACTGTACCTCACAGTGAATCAATAAGAAGGAGAAAAAAAAACACCCCGAAATATCCCCTCTCCTGGGTTGCTCCTTTAAAGATCCACACTCTGTCTGGGGCTGGAGCAATAGCACCGTGGGGAGGGCGCTTTGCTTGCCTTGCATGCCTCTGGCCCCGGTTTGATTATCAGCACCCCAGGTGTTCCCCTGAGCTCCTCTAGGATTAATCCCTGAGTGCAGAGCTGAAAGTCATCCCTGAACACTGCCAGGTGGATATCCTCTCCAAAGAAAAGAACAAACCCAGGGCCTTTCACGTGCAAAGCAGAGCTCTGTGCCCTGCATCACACCCTGGGCCCACAAGTACTCCAGCTGCAGTGCTCATACACCAGGCCTGGCTGCTCCAAAGACACACACACACACACACACACACACACACACACACACACACAGAGGCAGCCCCAAGAATTCAACTTGGGGCCTCACAGGGCCAAGTCAGGGGCCTCTAGCCACCAACTGTCCCTAAGGCCCCCTGATGTTTTTCTTTAACAGCTTTCACGGGGTCTTGTGTGAGGAGGTTCTGGGGCCAAGAAGAGAGGGGACTTCCTGAGTGAGAGGACTGGCGAGGGAGACAGAGCAGGCTCAGTTGGGGGGTTACTCTGAGGTACTGGAGGGGTCACAAGGTCAGTGCACAGCCTGTGGGCAGAGCTTCTGGAGCTGGTGTAGGCTTAGCAGGAGGCGGGCGAGAGGCCTGATGTGACACAGGCTCCTCACAGAAGCACCACATTGGGGGACAACCAGCACCTTCCCACAGCTCCTTCTGGGCACACAGTGGTCAGTCCAGGGGGCAGAGACTAGCTCCTCCACCTGGCGGGATCCCAGCAATGACACCCCCACACCGCACTGTCACTGGCGAGTCAGGGGTTTCTTTTTGGTGGGGGAAGGAGACATACCCCTTGAAATGGTTCCTAACGACTTACTTCTCACAATCCCTTGGGGAAAACGACAGCAAATCTGCCAGAAACTCCATCGTTTCTCCCACCAGGATGCTCTTCCCACCAAATAGCCTCTTCCTGATATACAAGCACTCGTACAGCTTCGCTTTGGCAAGACATGTGTTTCCGGCCAGAAATCTGATAATCAAGCACATGCGTGTTACCAATGGGATGTGAACCATTCGGACTGTCTTGGGCATGCTGTCAAAAAGGATTCTCCTCAGGGGCCAGAGCGATAGTACAGTGGGTAGGACATTGGCCTTGCAAGCAGCAGACGTGGGTTCAATCTCTGGTATCTCATATGGTCCCCTGAGTACTGTCAGGAGTATTCCTGAGTGCATGAGCCAGGAGTCACCCCTGAGCATCACTAGGTGTGACCCAAAAAGCCAAAAAAAAAAACAACCTTTGCTTTTACCAATGGCTCTACTTGCTGCTGGGTAGTTTCCAGGACAGATTTTGGGGGACGGTGCCCCCAAGTAGTGCTCAGAAGCCTGGGAGTCACCCATTTTCCCTCCTCCTTCCAGGAAGTTTCAGCCAACCAGGGTGGCAGGCCAGTGGCAGGGCCTCAAGGTGCCACTCAGGCTTGGCAGTGCGGGGGGTCACCTGGGCCAGCCAGTGGTGCTGGGCATCCCCAGGGCTATGCCCAGCTGTGCTTCTGTGACCACGCAGGGCTGAGGATTAAACCCTGCATGGGTGCGGGGGGGGGGGGGTGGGCACGTGTACTGCCTGCTGGACTATCTCCCTGTCCTCAGGACACATGTTTTTGTTTGTTTGTTTGGGGGCCACACCCAGCAGGGCTCAGGGCTTTCTCTGGCTCTCCACTTAGGGATTGAAGTGGTGGGGCTTGGCGACCATGTGTGATGCCAGGGATCAAACCCAAGCAAGGTAAACACCCTACCTGCTATTTCTCCAGCTCAAGGGATCTATCTATCTATCTATCTAAACACATATATAGTTAAATAAAATGAAGCCCACTAGGGCTGAGGCGATAGCACAGCGGGTAGGGCGTTTGCCTTGCACATGGCTGACCCAGGTTCGATTCCCAGCATCCCATATGGTCCCCCGAACACTGCCAGGAATAATTCCTGAGTGCATGAGCCAGGAGTAACCCCTGAGCATCGCCGGGAGTGACCCAAAAAATAAATAAATAAAATAAAGTAAGATGAAGCCCACTGAGAATTCTTTTTTGTTTTTGCTTTTTGGGTCATCCCTGGGGTCAGCCACATGCGAGGCAAATGCCCTACCCACTGTGCTATCCCTCTGGCCACCATAAAAGCAAAGGCTGACGTTGACATGGGTGGAGGGATTGGTGTTAGATGATGATATGCTTAAAACACAATTATCAGTTACTTTGTAAATCATGGCTCCTTTGTAAAAATTTCCAAAAAGAGCAAAAACAAAAGCATAGGTTGAAGATCCTCCCTGTGATTGAAAGGAAGAGGTGTGAACCCGACCTCCACCTTGGCACTGCTGATACTTGGGGTCAAACACTATTAGAGAAGGTACCAGAGAGAAAGCACAGTGGGTAGGTCACTTGCTTTGTGTGCAACCAATCTAGGTTCTATCCCCAGCACCCCAATGGGCTCCCTGAGCCCTACCAGGAGTTAAGTCTTTTTTTTCTCTTTTTGGGTCACACCCAGCGATGCACAGGGGTTTCTCCTGGTTCATGCATTCAGGAATTACTCCTGGCATGCTCGGGGGACCATATGGGATGCTGGGAATTGAACCCAGGTTGGGCCATGGGCAAGGCAAATGCCCTACCCGCTGTGCTATCACTCCAGCCCCAAGAAGTTAAGTCTTGAGTGCAGAGCCAGGAGTAAGCCCTGAGGATCACCAGGTGTGCCCTCAAAATAAACTAAAACCCACCCATGTTGATCACCCTGCAGTGTTGATGCCCAGGACTCTACGGCAACTGTTCTGTGCATCCCAGGCAGTGAAAGCTCGCCCTGTCTGGGGTGCACAGAGGCAGAGGGGGGCGGGGGCTAAGGCTTGGCTATCTTCACACTGTCGTGTGTAGACAGGAGCGGGTGACGGGGAGAGAGCTCAGAGTCCCAGATTCTATCTGGCTGTGTGAGCACTGCTGTGAGGAGCCCCTGAGCCTCACTAAATATGATTCCTAAGCTGTGAACACTCCTACCCTGCGCCCCCTCCCCCCAAAAAAATCTCACTGGCAAGGCTAAGAGCATCCCCAAGAGATGAAGAAGAGCCTGCTTACATCAGCACCCCCTCAGTGTGCTTCATGGTCGCCTCGTCGCATGGGTGTCTGTCCATCAGGCAGGAAATCTTAAAGGCGATTTCCAGTATTTGGTTCTCCCGCAGGTACTCCTTAGATGCCGACTTCACCAGGTTGCTCAGTGCTCTGACTGCAGAGAAGACATTGGCAGGGATGAGAGGGCACTTTCAGGGGCTTTTATTCCACTGGGGAGTTAAGTGGTCCCAGAGTTCAGACCAACCCCGGTTCTATTGCCAGGACCAAGCACGGTCCTCTGAGTCCCGCCAGGAGTGACCCCTGAGAATGGAGTCGGGAGTAAATCCTGAGCACTGGCGGGTATGGCCCAAAGACCAAAATTAAGAAAACATCAAGAGGGAGACAGAGTATTTCCTAGCAGGTGATCACCACTGCCAATGGCTGGGCTTCTTTTCATAAGTTAATGGCTGGCCAATGGTGCGATGGTTTTCATACCACAGACCCAAGGAGGCAAGGAGCCTTGAACTCTGAGTCTGTTTTGCCAGTGAATGGCTTGGAAGCAGAGTGAGATGCTAGATGTGGTGTCATCTGCCATCGCTATGGTCACTGAGCCTCCAGAGGGTGCAAACCTGGCATGAGACACATGAGCTTCATTTGTGGAATATAAAATAACATAATATGAGACTGACACCCAAGGACAGTAGACACAAGGGCCAGGAATATTGCCTCATAGTTGGAAACCTGTCTCATGAGCTGGGAAAGAGGACAGCTGGGATAGAGAAGGGATCATTAAATCAATGATGGTTGGAGGAACCGTTTGGGATGGGAGATGTGTGCTGAAATTAGATAAAGGGCCAACCATGATAGCCTCTCAGTATTTATATCGCAAGCCATAATGCCCAAAAGTAGAGAGAGTATGGGAGAAATTGTCTGCCATGGAGGCAGGGGGAGGTGAAAATAATCCAGGAGGTGCTGTTTGAGCACTGTTGGCAGTGCAAGCGAACAAAGCACCTATAACGACCTGTGCTTCGGAATTCAGCCTTAATCAGAGAGAACACCACTGTGGGACTGGAAGCTTCTTTCTCATGGTGAGCATGGCTCGCTTATGGCTCAGGGCCCTGGGCTTCCTCCCCGTGTCCACCTGGGGCCTTAAGTCAGCATGAGGGCAGGAAGGCCACACACCTGGTCTTCCTCTGTCCACTCACCCACCCTGTAATCCAGTCTCCCTCTGCAGCAAAAGGGATCCCAGCCCAGAAACCAGATGGTGTCGGGCCCACTCTCACCCCCAGCTAGCCTTTCCCGGCAAGCAAGATAGCAGTACCCAGGGCCTGTGAGTGGCCACCTAGAACGAACGATGCTTGGTCTGTGCTGGACACCGATACCACAGCTGAACCATCTCCTGGGGCTGTGTTCCTCCCCACACCATATATTTGCATCCCTCCCTGGCAGACAGAAAACGGGGGCCTCCTGAACAAAAATGATAGGACAGTGGGTAGGGCATTTGCCTTGCAAGCAGCAGATCTGGGTTTGATCCCCGGCATATGGTATGGTCCCCTAGGCATCATCAGGAGTGATTCCTGAGTACAGAGCTAGGAGTAAGACCTGAGCATTGCCGGGTAAAGCCTGTCCACCCAACACCACCCCCACCCCCAAGAAAAGGGAGGAAAAATAAGAAAAGAAAAAGAAAGAAAACTCAGACTGCCCCCAACACACACATTCCACAGGGCCAAGTGGCAAGTTCAAAAGCACAGAGCTAGTGAGGGGGGAGGTGGGCTGTGGACCCAGGAAGGCTGGGCTCAGGGTTGAGCTCTGACTGGCATCTCTTACACCAGCGCCCAGCTGTCCTCTCTGAAAGGGAGTTTCGGGCACTTGTCCACAGTACAAGAGCTCTTTTCTGGATCCTTAAGAAAACACCCACTTCCCACTCCAATTTTTTTTTTACTTGAACCAACCTCCTCCTCCCCCCTACTTCCTCTTGCTCCCAGGGGATGAGCCGGGAGGAAGAGTCTGGGGGTGGGGGGAGGCGCGTGGCCCCTACCATTCTGTTTCACTAGCTCCTTCTTCCCTTGGACGTTATTAAGCGACAGGTTGGATAACACTTTCCCGAAGTACTGGAAGCCCTCCTGGGCCATCCCGATGTCCAGATAGAGCTCGCCGAGGGTGTTCTGCACGTCGAGAAGTATTTCTGTCGCCGGCTGACTCTGCAGGAGACAGAGAAGTCGCCGTGCCTGAGAGGGGGGGAACTGGCGTCCACTCCCAGCGCCCCAAAGCTTGTGTTCTCGGGGAAGGCTAAATATTTAGACAACCACAGTGAGAATGAAATATTTGCTCGGGAGGCATTGCAAACTAAAAATATAATTTGGAAAGTGGGGGCTGGAGAGATAGTACAGCGGGTAGGGCATTTCCCCGGCCTGAGGCTGACCAGGGTTCGACCCCCCGTAGCCCATATGGTCCCCCTGAGCACTGCCAGGAGTGATCCCTGAGTGCAGAGCCGGGTGTAACATCCGAGCATCACCGGGTATGGCCTAAATAAGTAATTGGGAAATGTCTTTATGGGGAGTTAATGGTTGTAAACCTTTCCTCTTTTGTTTAATTCTCGTGAGAAACGACCGGTTTCTTCTCTTGGCTATTGCTGCCTGGGTACCAGCCACGTGTGACTGGGATTGAATTCGCACACCATGTGCCAACTGTGTACTTTACCACTTAAGTCACAGGCTGGACCGCCCCCCCATCCCCCTCCCCCGCCACCACCACCAAAAAATGAATATTGAAGGTGAGAATAGCAGGACAGGGGCTTGAGCAATAGTGCAGAGTGTAGGAAGCTTGTCTTAGACACAGACAACCCGGGTTCGATCCTTGGCACCCCATCGGGTCCCCCAAGCCCTGCCAGAAGTGATCCCTAAGTGCGGAGCCAGGAGTCAGCCCTGAGCACTGCTGGTATGGCCCCAAATCAAAACACACACACACAAAAAAGAAAAACACATGAGCACCTAAGAGGAGCACTTCCCGGGTGAGGCTTGGTGGGTCTCCTTGTCTGGGTGCTCTCTTATCTTTGTGTGACCTTGAAGTCCATCCCCGGACCCACAGAAAGAAACCTAAGTGGCAATATTCCCCTCCCTAAGGTGCCTTCTTCCTGCCGGGCACCCCCTCCTCAGCTCTGAGCCCTGTGCTGGCCGGGTCCCCACCAGCAATGCCAGCCTGGCCCTCCCCGAGCCAGCTCCCAGTGGGCACCAGTGCCCACAGCTGCACCTGACCAGACCAGGAGGGGCAACCTCTGACTTTGCATCTTTCTCCCTACTGAGGGTGGGGGAAGCATGCACGTCCATCCTCTGCGCCCCACAGCCAGGTGGACACTCTGTCCACGTGCTTCCCCCACCCACCCCCCACAAAGGCACCTTCAGCACATCTGTCATCGTCCAGGGACGGGGAACAGGGTGCATCTTTCTTGCCATCAGCCCTGCTTTGGTCCTCAGCACCACGGTGCATCCCTGGGGACATCCCTGTCCCCACTCAAAGCACTGCCCAGGTAGCCCCAGGTGAGCCCCGGCACACAGGCCAAGCATCCCTGGCCCTCATGTTGGACTAAAGTTTTCCTGAGAAGGAGCAGAAAGTGCCCTGGGGCCTCCTGAGCATGGCCCAGGGATGGCCCAAAAATAAAAATACATTTTTGAAAAGTTCCTCATCTTCCACTCCAAGGTTAACTGCCTCTTTAGCCCTCTCCACTCCTGTCAGCCCAACTCAACTCCCGCCTATGTCTACCTGGGAGTGGGGGGTTGGGGGGTAGGGGGAAGAGACCCCATGACCAGGTCCTAATGACCCCTCACCCCATGCCTCACCGCCGCACCAGAGGGACCAGAGTCGGCAAGCCCCACAAGTTCTGGGTCGTGGTTTCCTCTTCAGAGGGCACATCTTCAGTCACCGCAATGAGCAGACACCCCTCAACCCAAGCCTCAGCAGTGGACTTTGTGGGCCCCCTGGGAATGCTGGTGGGTATTCACGGTGGTCATGAAGCACCAAGTCAGGTCTGGAGCATGGAGGACCAAACCGAACTGACCTCGAAGGAGTTTTCCAGAAACTCCAGGACATGGGGATTATTATGCCTCTGTTATGGATGAAGACACTGGGGTTCAGCAAGGTTATAGAAATATCCCAAGGGCTGGAGAGAGAGTACAGCGGGTAGGGCGTTTGCCTTGCACACGGCCAACTGGGGCTCAATCCCTAGCATCCCATATGGTCCCCCAAGCACCACCAGGAATAATTCCTGAGCACAGAGCCAGGATAACCCCCGAGCATCACTGAGTGTGACCCAAAAAGAAAAAAAAAATCCCAGGAATTGGAGAGATAGTACAGCTAGTAGGGCACCTGCTTTATACGCAGCTGACCTGGGCTCAATCCCCGGCACCCCATATGGTCCCCTAAGCCCACCAGGAGTGACCCCTGAGTGCAGAGCCAGAAGTAAGCCCTGAGCATCACTGGGTGTGACCACAAACCCAAAACCAAATAACTAAATAGCCCGGGGGCTGGAGAGGAAGTAGAGCTGGAAGCTTACTTGCTTTGCTGCAGAGTCAACCCTGGTTTGATCCCTGGTGTCCCATATGGTCCCTGGGGTCCCACCAGAGTGATCCTGAGCACAGAGCCAGGAGAGAGCCCTGACCTCCCCACTCCCCCAACATAAAACAGCCCAAGCTCACATGGAGAGCAAGAAGGAGAGCAAGGGGCGTCCACGCCAGGCCTGGCGCCTCCTGGAACCCTACAGAGCCTGAACTGCAGGCGGGGACCCAGACAGGGACAGGCCCCAGACACATCCCTGCCTTCCTGCTGCAGTTCTGTTCCTGCAGCTTCTCCTTCTACCGACAGAGTCCCCCCCCCTCTCAACCAGAGCACGGGAAGCCTCAGGCAGGGCTCAAGGAGGAGGTGTCCACCTAAGAATGTCTCACAGTGTTCCGACCTTGGTGACCCCCCCTCACTCTGGGGCAGCAGAACAGGATCCCAGAACTGCCAGATACCTCCCTGAGGGCAGGTGGGGGTGAGGTGAGGAATGTAACCTTCTTCTTGGCAATTGCATCACCTGCAGCTATTTTCTATAACTCCTCTGCAGAAATGACCAAGGGGGTGCCTGCTTGTGTGGAGGGCGGAAGGCACCAACCACAGCACCCCCCTACCCCACCCCCGCGCCGCCTCCAGAATGTGGGGCACACAGCCTTTCAAAGAAGTGGCTGTGGCCCAAAATAGCTCGAGAGTTTCTCTTTCCGGAAGCACCTAGAAAATTCTGGAAAGAGTCTCCCTAGTAGCTCGTGCCTGCAGACGGAGTCTGAGACTGGCCTCAGAAGAGAGGCGCCTCCCAGGAGGGAAATTCTCTTGGAGTGAGGAAACTTCACTGGTCCCCCGGGAGAGCAGCACAGGTCACACATGCATGCAGTGTTTTGCTGACAAGAGGTTGGCACAAGGCCCAGCCGAGCTAGCTAGGGGGAGCTCCACAGGCCAGAACTGTAGAACTGTCTCGCTCTCTGCTGCCAACCCAACTCTCCCGGGAGCACACAGGCCAAGCCAGCCCCTCCTCCCTGAATGTTAGCTGATGGCATGCATGCATCCGTGAACTCGAGCCACCAGGTAGTGGGGTGATTAAATCACCCAGGAGACAGACCAGTGTGAGAACCTAGCCCTCGTAGCAGGGATGCAGGGGAGGGGATAGATCCCGGTGATCCCAAGCCACCTGACGCTTAGCAAAAAGGTAAAAGCATCTTCCAGATAACGCTGAATCAGATTCTCTCCCTAGGTCTAGCCTGGGTCTTGGGGACATGGATAGGAAAAACAAAAGAGCCACCCACTCCGAACAGACTGAGTGGCCTCCCTGCGGTGTGAAGGGCATCGTGCAACGTCTCACTTGGCACCGTAGAATGCCCTTTGAGGCGGGTGTGGAGCTGCCAACAGGGAGAGCTCCCTGCATCAGCGGTTAAAATGCCGGCAAGGTTAAAATGCCGGCAGGGAGTAAAGCACTTTAATTTTTTTTTTAATTTATTTATTTTGGACTTGGGGTCACACCTGGCGATGCTCAGGCCTTACTTCTGGCTCTGCACTCAAGACTTAACTCCTGACAATTTCAGGGGAGCCTGTAAGATGCTGGGGATCGAATCTCCATTGGCTGCAGACAAGCCAGAGACCACTCTCCGATCGCTCCAGGACCAGCAAGGCCCTTTAGAGCTGGGTCCATCTGGAAACTGCTCTGCTCACTGCTCTATGCCTGCTTCTGAGGATGGGAGGAGAGATCTGTAGATGCCAAACCGTGTATTGGTTCAGGCAGCATCTTTGTGATGTAATCTTGGGCTAGAAGATGCCACAGAGGAAACAGAACTTGGCAGAGAAGTAGATGGTGTCAGGCATGAGACATCTCACCCTGTGGGATTTCAAGAAGCCCCGAGAGAGAGTTTTCCCTCAGAAAGATGCATGTTTGTGGCAGAGGCGCTATGAAAACTGCAAAGTCTTTGGCTAAAAGAAACAAACAAACAAAAAAAAACCCTGAAAAAACAAAAAACAAAAACCTCTCTGGGGCCGGTGAAAGAGCAGAGGTGAAGGCACTTGTGTGGTCCCTACCCAACCCCAGCACCACACATGTTCTCCCTGGGGCACTGCAGGAGTGATCCCTGAGCACAGAGCCAGGAATAAGGCCTGAGTACCACTGTGTTCATACTAGAGCAAAAATAAAATCTTTGGATTGGGTTATACTTCTGGTATACACATTTTAATAGAATACGTTAAAAATACATCATTTTCTTAAAAGCAACTTAAATGTCAACCGAAGCACAGTTACAGTGACGTTCTCATTGTATTCAACACAGTGAAAAGTTCTTATTTCAGAGAACTCCCACGGGACCCAGTGATACCCTCCCCCCCACCCCCCAAACACAAAAACATTCATCCCGATGGATGGATTCACACACCTGTGCCCACGGCAGCACTTAGCACAACAGCCAAGGTACGGGAATAAACCAAATACCTAACTAAGGATGAACAGATCAAGAAGCGGTGGTATATATACTCATCTATGTCCCTTTTTTAAAATATGAGCATGCTTTTTTTCAGTTCACCACCCCCAAGTTTTATCTATTGGTATTCATTCATGAATACTACCATTTATGTACTGCTGGTTCATTAATATGTGGTTTGGAGCAGAGTATAAAATCACATTCTCCTTGCTGATAAGCATCGTAAACTGACTTGTCTGCTTGTGAATTAAACTACAAAGGAGCAAAGTGAAAATATTCACATGAAAGGAAAGCCGTCTGAGGTCCTCCAATCCTCCCTCACTTTACCTGCTCTAATAATATGTTCTCGACATTCAAGAACAGGTCTTCTGCTTCACTGATCTTGCCCAGAAACTTCAAAAATGGGCTACGCACCTTTAAGAAAGGTCCAAATCACAGTTTGCCGTGACAGAGATGGAACTAGAGGATATCGGTGGAGTCAGAAGGATAGGGACACTTTTTTTTCCCCCTCTGGAAAGAAAGATGGCAGCCACTTGGGAGCTTTGTGGAAAGCCAGGTATGAACTGGTCATGATGGGGCAACTAAAACCTCATGGGAAGGGGGGCATTCCCAGCTCGTCCTTCACGCCCTATCGAGGTCACGAGTTGCCCCCCATGAGCGGCTCTCCGGCAGGGCCATGGCTCCAGAGCACAGAAACCAATCTCATAATTATCTGACTCTCAGTAGAAATACTCCCAGGGTTAATAATTAAAATACCTGAAATCCAAAATCACACGATCCTTGTAACCAGCTGTAGAAAACAAATTATTTCACAATGCCTTTTCAGCATGTCTGATTTGGGGGTGTAAACTCTAAATAATAACAGTGCATCTTTTGTTGAAACAATGAATCGAGTCAAAGTAGGCAGAGTGTGAACTAGAATTCATCTGCCTCACAGGCATTGGGAGGGTGGGGGGGTGGTTCATTGGGGTTCTCCGTGGTGAAAAATAAGTATTGGTAAAGGGAAATGTGTTTGATATTTGCATGACCGAGACTTAAACCTGAACACTTTGTAACTTTTCCCATAGTGATTCAACAAATAAATAAATTTTAAAAAAAGAAAAAGGATAGGGACAGAGACAGGATGGTCCACTGATATATGGGATGCAAAGACACTCAGTGAGTGAGCAACAAAGGGTCAGAGGTTACACGATGGGAGAACTGACCCACAGCACTGAGTTTTGGGAGGTGGGGGGGTCGAAAGGAAGGGACATGGGGACCCAAGGGGATGCAGGTGTATGGGTGCACTGGTGCACTGGTGCACTGGTGATGGGAATAGCGTTGGAATCATGCACACAGCAGCACCGCTAACAGTATTGAAAATCACAGTACCTCAGTCATATTTTCATTTGTTTTTATTTTGGTTTGAGGGCCACACCTGGAAATGCTGAGGGCTTACTCCTGGCTCTAGGCTCAGGGGTCATTCTTGGCTGGACTCAGAGACTACATGGGGGCTCCAGGGTCAAACCAGGGTCAGCCGCATGGCAGGGCAAGAGCCCTACCAACCATGCTGTCTGGCCCCCTAAAAAAAGAGTTTTAAAAAAATGAAATCAGCTGACTCTACAATTAAAGGCATCAACTAAAAAGCAAACTGTTCACCATAAATGGGAAAAAAAAATTCTATTTCAGAGAAAGCAAATTAATATAGACAAGATAGCCAAGTCTTTGGCCAAAATTAATTTCAATCTGCTCATCTATGTCCCTTTTTTAAAATATGAGCATGCTTTTTTTTCAGTTCACCACCCCCAAGTTTTATCTATTGGTATTCATTCATGAATACTACCATTTATGTACTGCTGGTTCATTAATATGTGGTTTGGAGCAGAGTATAAAATCACATTCTCCTTGCTGATAAGCATCGTAAACTGACTTGTCTGCTTGTGAACTAAACTACAAAGGAGAAAAGTGAAAATATTCACGTGAAAGGAAAGCCGTCCGAGGTCCTCCAACCCTCCCTCACTTTACCTGCTCTAATAATATGTTCTCGACATTCAAGAACAGGTCTTCCGCTTCACTGATCTTGCCCAGAAACTTCAAAAATTTACCAATGAAGAACAGTAATCGGCATTTGTCCACGCCGGTAACCTCAAAAGTCCTGCATTCCAGTGCTGAAAAGGGAGGAAAAGAAAGAATTTTAAAGCACTAGGGGGACGGAGCAGAGAGCACTTAAGGAGATTAATACATTATCCATATTTAGTTGTTTCTCTCCACCAAAGCAGTACTTTGCTCTCATATTATATAAATTACCAACTGGGCTGGAGCGATAGCACAGCGGGTAGGGCATTTGACTTGCACGCGGCCAACCCAGGTTCGATTCCCAGCATCCCATATGGTCCCCTGAGCACCGCCAAGAGTGATTCCTGGGTGCAAAGCCAGGAGTAACCCCTGAGCATTGCTGGGTGTGACCCAGAAAGAAAAAAAAATGATGAAGAACGGGAGGACAGTGCCACAGTACTACTAGCAGTTTTGAATGTGAAAAACTGTTCATAACATTTTTAAAAAGTAGCTATAGCGCCAGGATAATTCCCGAGTATAGAGCCATGAGGAACCCCTATGCATTGCCGGGTATGACCTCCCCACCAAAAAAAAATAGTTATAGTACTTTTCAATAGTATTATTATGCAAATTTTAAAATGCAGAGGTGGGAGGGGAAATGTTTTTCTGTAGTTCTACGCATGTAACTGCTCTAATTTGTATAGGGAGCAATTTTCAGGCACGAGGAAAAGGTCTGCTTGAATCTCTGACACGACTCTGCCCTCTGCCGCAGCTGTCCTGAATTACAGCTTTCACGGAAAGCCCGACAAGTTACAAGGGCAAAAGGGAATGAATGCTGGTTCTGAAGGGGTTGGTGTTGGAGTATTGCATGCCTGAAACTCAATCATGAGGGACTTTGTAAATCCAGGTGTCCTGATAAAAAAAGAAAATGTTTAGAAAAGAATGAGAGCTGGAGAGACTGCACAGCAGGTCAAGTGTTTGCCCGGCACGTGGCCTGCCTGTGGTTGGATCCCTAGTACCCTATATGGACCCTCAGGCACCTGAGTGTAGAGCCAAGAGTAACCCATAAGCACCACTGGGTATGAGCCAAAAATTCTTAAATAAACAGGGAAAGAATATATTAGTTACATGTATGTGTGTAAGCATGTACCTGTGTCGTATATTTTTACCAATGGAAAGGTATACAGCATTTTTGAACGTTAAGACCCTGTTAAGGGGTTAGAGTGATAGCACAGCGGGTAGGGTGTTTTGCCTTGCACGCGGCCGACCCGGGTTCGACTCCCAGCATCCCATATGGTCCTCTGAGCTACACCAGGTGTAATTCCTGAGTGCAGAGCTAGGAGTAACCCCATGTGCATCGCCAGGTGTGACCCAAAAAATCAAAAAAAAAAAAGACCCAGTTAAACAGAGAATACAAAGCATATCATTTCGGTTGTGCTTTGGAACAGGGATTGGGGCTTGGGATGGAAACATCCCAAATTGGGTGGTGGGAAGGTGTAATGGTGGTGGTCTTGATGTTTGAATATTAAATGTAATCAAATATTGTGAACTACTTTATAAAATTTTAAAAAATTAAAATAAAAATAAAAGACCCAGTCAAATACAGGGTCCTACATGTCACTGTCTTGTGGTGATGGGGCACCTGGGAGTGACGGGCCATTGAACCCAGTCTAAAACTGATAGCTTATAGACAGGACCGTGAGCTGTTGGCTGGGAACCAAGACGTGGGCCAATGACTGGTGGTCAGCCGACAAGTTTATTCAAGGCATGTAGTGATTATATAGAGGCAAAGGTGGGCATGCAGTAAGGGGGGAGTGCAAAAGGGAAGATCAAAGTTTGTCTGGCCACGGACAGCTTCAGGGGGACCCAAACTTGGCATCTCCCAGCTCTCAAACAGAAACAATGCTAATTCTCCTTCAAGGTTCCCAGAGGCAACTGTGAAGGTTTCAAGGCATCCCTCACCTCCAAGCCCAACCCAAGGTGAATTATTAATCTGTACTATTTCCTGGGGGACCATTAGGAAATTGTCTGAACTTAGACTCCAGAGCCCTGGAGTGATCTCACAGGTGACCCGGTCCCAGTGGCTGAGGAGATAAGCCCGCGGGAACTCCAGCCTCCACAAAGTCATCATTTGCAGAACTTCCCTGTTTGGAAATCCCTGTAGCCACGACTTTTTTAGTTTGAGCACCATGTGCATGTGCAAATGTGCCCACAAAGATCCAACACCCTCAGCATCGACTTGCCTCCACCAGTGTCCCCAGGTTCCTCCCATCACCCATCGCCCATCACCCCCGCCTACAGGCCTCCTCCTTAACAGACACAAGTTTTATTATTGGGTTGTACTGGAGCAATAGCACAGCAGTAGGGCATTTGCCTTGCACACAGCCGACCCAGCCGACCAGGGTTTGATTCCTCTGCCCCTCTCGGAGAGCCCGGCAAGCTACCGAAAGTATCTTGCCTGCACAGCAAAGCCTGGCAAGCTACCTGTGATGCACTGAGTATGCAAACACAGTAACAACAAAATCTCACAATGGAGATGTTACTGGGCCTGCTCGAGCAAATCGATGAACAACGGGAGGACAGTGACAGTGACAGATTATTGGGTCTGGATCCTGTGTTTTTCAGTGGTACTGGCTCTGGGTTAGACACATACATATACTATAAAGTGCTCTGACAGTTTACCCCTGCCCCCTGTCTCTGCTACCCCCCGCCCCCCTTGTCTTACTCCACATCGGTCGGTTTGTTACACTGCAACTCATTGCCTTGAGTGTGCTCAGCACAAATGCTTCCCTTCCTCCTTGCTCAGGCCACGCAGGATGCCTTGACGGCGACTCTGACGCCTCCCTCATTCCTTCAGGGACCCCTCCGGGACTCACCATTCACACGAGAGTTAAACTTACTGAGCATCTACTAGGTGCCAACAATGTTCCCAAATGGCACAGATGCGGTTGGGAGACTTTGAATCACAGTTCTGGAACCTTGAGATGGACAGCGAAAGCACAAAGGGAGCCTGGCAAGGGGGAGAGCACTGAGAGGCTCAGTGTGAGACTCTGGACTCTGGGGCCAGAGTTCAACCCCCTGTCAACCCTTGAGAGTGAAGTGGCAGGCAGGAGAACTGAGAGGTCAAGTCTGTGGCCAGGGAAGCCTAAGAAACATGAGCAGGGGCAGGGAGACTGTGAGGGGCAGGGGAGCAGAAAGGGGGGAGGGGAAAGGCACTTGCCTTGCATGGAGTCAGCCCCAGTTTGATGCCTGGCGCTGCATACAGTCCCCTGAGCACCACCAAGAGTGACTCCTGAGGGCTGGAGCGATAGTACAGCAGGGAGGGTGTTTGCCTTGCATGCAGCCGACCCGGGTTTGATTCCCAGCATTCCATATGGTCCCCTGAGCATTGCCAGGAGTAATTTCTAAGTGAAGAGCCAGGAGGAACCCCTGAGCATCACTGGGTGTGACCCAAAGAGAAAAAAAAGAGTGACTCCTGAGCACAGAACCAGGAATAGTCTTTGGCACCACCAGGTGTAGCCGATGCTCACACACACACACACACACACACACAGAGAGAGAGAGAGAGAGAGAGAGAGAGAGAGAGAGAGAGAGAGAGAGAGAGAGCTGCTCAGAGCAGACAGAGAGACAGGCACCAGCAAGAGCAGGGCTGCACTGGCCAGGAGGGATGAAGGTGCCCAGAAAGCTGCCCGGGGCCCAGATGGACAGTCAGCACTCATCCCTGCATTTAATACTCGGTTCTTCCAGTGTTCCCAGAAATGTGCATGCCCGGCACCCGCCACCCACCACCCACCACCAGGCCTCGCCCCCCCCTTACCAAGTACCCCCCCACCAGGAGCTCGACTGCCCAGGAGCAAACCTGTCCCGTACAACCCAGAATGGAGCAAGGCCTTTGCTAGGGGCACCGCTGCCCCTGCCCAGGACACAGCACCAAGTCTCCAGCCAAGCCGTAAAAACTCGCAGCTGGGGTGGGCGGGAAGGATGGATACAGCCCTACGAGAAGCGTCAGAAGAGAAGGGAGCGCGCAGAGAAGTCAGAGTCACCCACACTCACGTGCATCAAAAGAAGACAGTCTCTAACTCCCAAGAATAACTGAGACAAGTACCAGGAGGTTCACCGCATGGCTTGGAGGCCAGCCACACATGCTGGGGGAAAAGGGAGCCCAGATAGAGAAGGGAGCACCAAATAAAGGGTGTTGGGAGGATCCTCCCAGGATGGGAGAAGCATGCTGAAAGTAGACTATAGACCAAACATGATTGCCACCCATTGCCTCTTTTGCAAACCACAACAACTACAAGAAGAGAGAGAACAGAGGGGAATGCCCTGCCACAGAGGCAGGGTGGGATGGGGGGATGGGGGGTGGGAGGGATACTGGGATCTGTGGTGGTGGGAAATGGGCACTGGTGGAGGGATGGGTATTTGATCATTGTATAATTGAAACCCAAGCACAACAATTTGTAAGTCTACAACTGTACCTCATGGTGTTTCACTAATAAAAATTTTAAGAGAGAGAGAGAGAGAGAAGACAGTCTCTGTTAACGGGCCACTGTGTGGACTTCTAGACCATGGTGTGGTCACCCAGTGAATGAAAAACATGCTTTTAAAAAAAAAAGAATTTAAACTTTGCCTACCCTATAGACCGTGCTAACTTGCCTGCCTTTGTACTTTTGAAGACGCCCCATATTTCTATGTCATACTGCACTAGACTGCCTGTCCACTGGACACTACTCGGTGTTCAGGGTCCCGTCCTCCTGGGGCTTAAGGTCTATTGCAAACATTGTAGCCTGCAGAGTTTGCTGTGGCCTTGAATGATGCTCAAGAATCTACCTATCAATGACAGGCCACCTCCTGTCTTACAGATCAAATTTAGTCAGACCTAGGAAACACTGAGTTCTCCAGAGAGACGCACTGGGAGGATATATATATATATATATATATATATATATATATATATACACACACACACACACACACACACACGCACACAGCTCCAGTGGGGGCAGGTGGGGGTGGTAAGCTCTGCTCCCCATGATAGAGCACAGTGAGAGTCTAAGGGATCCGTGCTTGGGGAGGAGATGCTTAGGGGCCATCGGTGCTACACCAGGGGAGGGTC